ATTTTATATATATATATTTTTTATAGTGTGATCAGAGCCAGGAATGGTGGCTCAGGCCTGTAATCCCAGCAATTCGGGAGACTGAGATAGGAGAATTGCTTGAGCCCAGAGTTTGAGGCTATAGTAAGCTTTGATCACGTTGCTGCACTCCAGCAAGGGCAATAGAGCGAGACCCTGTCTCCAAAAATAGATAAATAAAATGTGATATCAATCAAAACACCAACATTTATTTACATATAATCTGCTTTTATAATTTATATAGATGATCAAAGGACCAAGAATAACTGTGCCCAATGTGATATCAAGATTTATTATAAACAATTTGGGATAAACAAATTGACCCATGGATCATATTAGAAAGCCTATCAGCAAATCCATGCATATGTGGAACTTGCTTAAAAAGAGAGGTTTTACTGCAAGTCAGTTGAAGGGGAAAGGGGGACTACAAAATAAATGCTTCTGGAAGAACTGGTTATTCACATGGAAAAAAATTAAATTGGAATTTTCCCCATACCTCATAATATATACAATTTTATTCTGGATGAATTAAGGACGTTAAAACCTTTAGCAGAAAATATAGATTACCTGCCAAAAATAATTAGGAGCTCTCTCATAAAAAAAAATTAAAGGAGTAATATATTCAAAGTGCTAAGGGAATTAAACACCTACTTAGAATAATTCAATTACCTATCAAAACTGTCTTCCAATAGTAGCAGTGAAATAAAAACATTTTTCAACAAAAATCTACTTACCCCCACAGAAGGAAGTACTATAGCAAGACAGAAAGTAAACCTAGAGGTAAGGAGTAGAATGCAACAAACAGCAGCAAACATTCAAAAGGTACAAGTTGATGTATTTCTTCACTACCAGCTATAGAACAAAAATCTGTATTTTGTACTTTAAAAAATTGATACAAATTCTCTAAAGTAAGTACAATAAGGAATATAGGGTCTTAAATGGGCATTTTAAACATTGTATGGTGCTCATGATGTTCTGGAAGAGGATGGAGATACTGAAAAATTCATATATTAGTAAGTATGTACATTAAAACTTAAGACAAAAACATGCAAAGAATAGAAATTGCTTAAAGGAAGGAAATAATGATTTGTGCAAGTTAGTACTTTATTCCATAGAATATAACCCTATTTTTCATTCTTGTTTTCAATATTTCTTTTTTCTAAGAAAAGGTGAAAAAAATTAAACTTTTTAAAAAAGATGTTCACTAAGATTATCTTTCTTTTGCAAAAACAAATTAACTTTAAATTCAAGTACAATATGAAGCATTGTTTACTACTCATAAAAATGTAGTAACAAAAATCTTAGAAATGTTTTCTTTCAAGTCAACAATAAGATTATCATTATTTACAATATATTGATGATCCTAGCCAATGCTATAGGAGAGGAAAAATAAATTAGTTTCAATAATTGAGCTAAAGGGGCACAAAATTTTACTATCTGCAAATGATAAGAAACCTATATGGAACATATAAGGAAATCTATAAGAAATATTATTAGAATAAAGGGAGTTCAACACAACTGGATTTTTAAAAATTTCAACAAAATCATTAGCAATAAGTGGCTGAAAATTTAAAAGATTAATATAGCAAGAACAACAAGGAAGTAAACAAGAATGAATATAATAAAAGACATGTAAAAATATAGGAAGATAATTACAAAATATTTTTAAAGTCCATGAAAGATCTGAATAAACAGATTGAGATCCTGAATTCAACGTGAGAAAAGTGAAAGCCATAAAGATTTTAATTGCTCTCATTTATTTTATGAATACAATTCAATTCCTATCAAAATTTGAGCAGAGGTTTTTTCAAGGAATTTTATAAATTGATTCAACAAACCACAGAAATAAGCACAGTGGCAAGAGTATCCAAAACAATGCTGATGAAGAAAGCAAGACTTGTTGATGAATTGGATGTGGA